TGAGCTCAGCTCGTGTTCGGCTCGTTTACACCCCTAATCCTATTCATATGCAAAATCTTTCGCAACTTCTTCTAGGTTGGGGACATCCTTCACTGTAGTCTTAAATGGTCGTTCATATTAACGTTTCGGGCACGACTATGGTAGGGTAGTCATCCCGCTTTTTATTCAGACATCAATTCGTCGGAAATTAGGGCTGTTAAAATAGCTCGTTGTTCGCGAACAGCTTGTGTTCGACTCATTAAGAAGTTCGTGTTCGGCTCGTCCGCTAATTTAAAGAGTCGAACTCGAATAACACAAAAAAATATTTATTTGTTCGTGTTCGGCGGCTCGAAATATATATATATAGCGATGAGTAGTATTTATAAAAATTTAATTGACTACAAGGTTACAAAGAATTATAATCAATTAAAAGAATTGATTAAGAAAATAGGAAAAAAATTATAAAATTAGATTCAAATAATCTTTTAATATAAACAATAATTTTTAAATCTTACCACAACCCTAAATTCTTATAACTACGTGATTAAGGTTGTCAAAATGGTTTTTTATTCGCAAACTCGAAATATAAACGAGCCGAACACGAGTTGAGCCTGGGCTCGCTCTTGTTCGACTTGTTTACACCCCTATCAAGAACTACTTCCAGACTGGGGCAACTTCACAAATAACACTTTCTTTTAAAATCAATTAAAAAATAAAAAATTTAAAATATAATTAAAAAATTCACAAAAATTATTCAAAATGATCCTCTAACCTAAGTGAACCTCATAAATTTATTCTCAGGATAAAAAATATGTTTTGGTTATTAAAATTAATTAACATTGAAATTTCTTAATTTTGAATCAAAATAACTATTAAAAATTAAATAAAAATCAGAAAAATATAAATTCTTCTCTGGTGTATAAATTGTCTCATGAGTATGGTAACAACAAAATTTCTAAGTCATTTGAGTTAAATCGAATAAATTATGAAGTAAAGAACCCTAAGGTAAAATTATAATTATTGACTTTTGAAACATTAAGTTTTAAAGGGTTAATTAACTCTTTGAAATATTTGAAATAATAAAGGTTAAATGGTAGAAACCAATTCATCCCATTTTCTATAAAAGGGTAAAAGCATAATTTTTCAAATTGTTGAGAATTGGAGGCCAATCAAGTTTGGAAGATCTTAAGGTCAGTAACTTGTGTTAGGAAGACAATAACTCATCAATATGAAGTTCGTAACCAATGATTTAATGATAACTTAAACTGTTAATGAGAATTGGACACACTTCACGTTATTTATTTTTTTAATTACAAATTCACCCATAACTTCACGTTATTTATTTTTTTAATTACAAATTCACTCATAAGGTACCTAAGAGCTCAGTAGCGAACTAGATTTGATTTAAAACTACTTAATGAAGTACCTAAGAGCTCAGTAGTGAACTAGATTTGATTTTAAACTACTTAATGAGAGCTTATAAAAGAAACATAAGTAATCATAAACATTGTTGAAATACTACGAGCTCAAGTTCTGCACTGGTGCAAATAATATTACTATAAAAAGTAGAATGATCATTTGTCCAGAAACAGCTGCAGCACAACTATTTTCAAATTATAAAAAAATAAACAGATAACCAGCTTATCCGCAAATAGTTTCCTGTGGCAGCTGCAGCATAATGAATTATTTTTAAGCTGCAACTGCCCTAAATAGACCCTAAATCTCTTTTCCTCACATATAATTCATCCTTCAATAAATAATACACACTCCTTATTCTTAATAATTTTGATTGCAAAGAAAAATTGCATATATACCATATGATTTTTATGTATTTTCATATCTGACATAAAAATACTTGATATTTATATTTATAACACATTTCTTTCATAAACTTATTCATTGAAAGTTGTATTTCACTTTTAAAAAGATGATATTTTTTATATGATATTTAAGATTTGAGCTATATACATAAAATATGAATGTCTAGATGATAGATATGTAAATACATCAGAATTATGTCGTATATATGTAAATGCTTCTAAAGTAAAATATGGATAATTACATACACTCAAAATATTAAGTCAAGCATCTAAGTGCTTTTCTGAACTATGAAACCGATATATTTATTCGTGTCACGATAAAATTAGTAAAATATGGATAATTACATACACTCAAAATATTGTTATTTATAAGTCAAGCATCTAAGTGCTTTTTTGAACTATGAAATCGATATATTTATTCGTGTCACGATAGAATCATTGTGAATTTGATAAATATGAAAAATATGAGTTGTGATTTAATCATGACTTTTGATATTAGAGTGAAATTTGAAAAATGAATGAAAGGAGGGGCTTGATTTGTAAATAGCACCACACAAAATCTCGTGGAGCTAGAAGGTAGAACTTCCACCCTGGTTTCAACGTTACCGGCGGCGGCCTCAAACTTCACGACACCGCAGCTTAGCTACCTTCCAAATTCCTCTCTCTCTCTCTCTCTCCTTGCAAGCCGCAACTACACCTTCATCTCTCTCCACCACCATGCCGGAAATGAATCCACCCAAACAGTTCTGCTCCATCATCCTTTTCCTCCCCTTCATAATCTTCCTCCCACCATTCGTTCTCTCACAGAACTCCAGTTCCACCAGCTGCCCTCTCGACTTCTCCGTCGCCAAGCCCTACATCTCGGCAGCCTCCTCCTCCCCTCCCTCCGACCTCTGCGGTTTCTCTCTCCAAATCCTCCATCTCGTCGAATCTCACTATCTCCTCTCCTCCAATCTCTTCGTCCCACCTTCTTCCTCAGCCTCCTCCTGTTGGTCCCATCTCTCCTCCCTCCTCTCCCATTTCTCAATCTCCCTTCCTTCCTCCTGCAACTTTTCCGTCCCCTCCATCTCTCTCCCCTGCATGAACCTCACCTCCCGCGCCGCCTTCACTGCCTTCCTCCCTTCCAAAGCTCTGACCGATCTCAACTCTTCCTGCGACAGGCCCCTCTCTTCTTCCTCCTTCTGTACCTCCTGTACTACAACCATCAACCGTGTCAAGACCTCTTATCTCGTTGGGCCGGATATCTCCAATGTCACTGATTGCTCCGATTACCTCTTCATCTATGCCGCGGCAGCTGCAAATCGTTTCGGGCCGGGTGATTCCTCCACTGCTTATTGTCTCTTTCTTCTTCAGATTCCTTCATCTTCATCGTCTTCCGGTGGAGGTGCCGCTTTAGCGGCCGGAATCGCCGCAGCTGCGGCTGCCCTACTTGCCATCGCAGCATTTATGGCGTGGTATTTAATCCACCGGCGACGGAGGAGGCGGAAAAGGTGGAGCCGGACTCCTGCGAGATCCGATCCGCTAATCGGCAGCAGCACGACGCTAACCAAGTTTAGCTTAGAGGAGATTCGCGAGGCAACTGGAAATTTCTCTACAGAGAATATAATTGGGATGGGAGGATATGGAAATGTATACAAAGGCGTTCTCAAGGATGGGACGAAGGTTGCCATCAAGCGTTTTAAAAACTGCTCCGCTGCAGGGGATGCGAGCTTTGTGCATGAGGTGGAGGTGATTGCAAGCGTTCGTCATGTAAATCTGGTGGGTCTTAGAGGATACTGCACGGCGACTACACCAATGGAGGGCCATCAGAGGATCATTGTCTGCGATCTGATTGCCAACGGTAGTCTTCATGATCATCTTTTTGGCTACGAAGAGATGAGATTAAGCTGGCCGGCGAGGCAGAGAATCGCGTTGGGGATGGCGAGGGGGTTGGCTTACCTGCATTCTAGTGCACGGCCGGCAATCATTCACAGAGACATAAAGGCAAGTAATATTCTACTTGATGAGAGATTTGAAGCTAAGGTAGCGGATTTCGGTCTGGCTAAGTTTACGCCTGAAGGTAGCTCTCATGTGAGCACTAGAGTTGCAGGGACTTTGGGTTATATTGCTCCTGAATATGCTCTTTTTGGGCAGTTAACTGAGAAAAGTGATGTTTTTAGCTATGGAGTTGTGATGCTTGAACTTTTGAGTGGGAAGAAGGCCTTCAAGAGCAGAGAGGATGGGCAGAACTGGCTTGTGAGTGACTGGGCATGGTCTCTGGTTAGAGAAGGGAAGACATTGGAGGTAATTGAGGAAGGTATGGAGGAGCTGGGGCCAAAGGAGTTATTGGAGAGGTATGTGCTTGTTGCAGTGCTTTGTTCTCATCCGCAGCTGCACGCAAGGCCAACTATGGATCAGGTTGTGAAGATTTTGGATAGTGATTCGACGGTGCCACCGATTCCTGATCGGCCTATATCTATCATAGCAAACAAGGAGGATATTGAGAGATCAATGAGCAGCACCAGCTCAAGCCAGCTATTCTCTCCTTCTGGATATAATCACTATATCCAGACAAGGGATGAAACTCCTCACCAAGGTTCTGAGTTTTTGTGATGCTTGCTTTCTTTGTTTTGGCTTCATTACGGGGATCATATTCTCAGGGCTTGAGGATCTACCGGTAAGTGGCCATTCTTTGTGAATATTTTTGGATCATAAATGTATGATAATTCCTCCTAATTGTAGTTAGTTTATATTTAATGTCTCATGCGGTTTTGTTTTAGCTCCAATGCAGATTACATTTGTTCAGTTTGTATCTATATTCCTCAACTGGTTGAGGCTCTAAGTGTGGCAATCAAATTATTTTTTGTGAAGTAAAGTTTGGGAAATGCTATTCTTAGTTCTATTTAATCCTGGTAATTCAATATCATCTACAAACATGTGTGCATTTACATGCATAACACCAAATTCTTAGTTTAATTAGGTATCTATGACCTTAATTTTGCTTTATACATTTGACTACCAAAATATTTCATATCACATCTAAAATGCCATTATTTTAACTTTTATAAAGTGAGCACACCTTTTGATGCATAGATACGGTGGCATTTAAGTAATTTTAGATATGTAAATACATTATAATTGAGTAGTATGTATGCATGTAAATCTTCATTTTTTTTATTTGGGTCAATGCATGCATTGCAGAGAAATAAAAACCTTGACTCAAGACTTAGGAATCCTTATTCCAGTGTATTTCAAAATGCATCATAACTCCTTCTATGATGCAATAATTTTTTTTGTAAGATAATATTATTGGCTTGTAGAAAATAAACATCTTGAACATTATCTTACAAAACAGAAAGAGTTGGTTGTCTTTTTATCAGATTGGTGGGGCATTGCTGCTAATACAAGTGTTCTTTCTTCCTGAGCTGATGTTGACTCATGATATCCTTAGCCAAAATTTTTATTTTCCCCTCAGAGAAATCACTTGTAGTTTAGCTCCTCCATTTTTAATGAAAATAGTAGCTTCTTTAATTCATGGAGAAGGCAGGATACGCTTCAACATTGCCAAACAAATGATCTATGGATTTTACAAGATCATTACTATGAGATAAGTCATTGTCTTGTTGGTATTTCTAGTAGCGCCTTTTAAAAACTCGGCATATCACTATTTGATTTTTTTTGTTTCGTGTGATGACAGACTTTATAGTGTACATTCATCTTCTCCATTGGGTCCGCTATACTTCCAAAGCACTTTGTTCATCTGTTTGAGATTAGTTGTGAGTTTATTTGGTTTATGTTTTGTTTTTTTAAGTTAAACTTGTCTTTAGCTGATTATTTTTTATTAAATATTTTTGATTTGGATAGGGTCTCATTTTGTTTCACATGAAATTGAACCATTGATTAGGTTCAACTGGGATAATCTTTCAATCAATGCATCCAGTCTATTGATAATAATTAGAAAGTAACCTATAGGTGATTTAGTTGGTTTAAACATATTGAAATTTTGTTTAGTCATGTTCATTCATAATGTTAAATTTTTTTTAAGTTCAAAGTATTGCATAAATGAGGGAACTATAACTAGAGACTTCAAGTAGGACTCATCACTCTTCTAGTCTAAGAACCATAAAGTGTTTCGAGGGTTGGCGTTAGGAATATGAATAATCCAACGGGGCTTTGGAATTGTTGTTAGTTGGTGCATGCATGGCTTAAAATTATACAATTGAATATTGAGGATTTTTTTGTCAATAACGTGAGACAGAACCCTATTGTTAAGAGAGTAGATGTTTTAGATTCGATTTATGTTAAGAAAGCAGAGGTTGACCTAAAAAGACTTGGGCTTATTGTATAAAAAATGATCTTAATCTTTTAGAATAAATGAAAATATGACACTCAATAGAACGCAATGGAGAAAATAGATTCATGTAGCCGACCCCACTTAGTGGGATAAAGACTTGTTGTTGTTGTTGTAAGGTAAGACAAAATCCTCAAATTAAAAAAAAAAAAAACTATTTAGAAGAAGAAGTATTTTATAAACTTCAAAATTTGTAATAAGATATGATTTATTAACACATTAAAAATTATCATATCAATATTTTAAAATAGTTTAAGTAACAAATTATATAAAATAATGAATAACATATTAACATTTTAACATCAAATCATGAAAAAAGATAATTATACAAATATCAAACTAAAATAAGCTCAGATGCTAAAATGAAATACAAATTAATATAACAATGAAATAAGCTCCATATGAGCTTTTATCTCTCATTGATATTGTCCTTCATTTTATCAAAATAAGTCATTAATATTAAAAAATTTAAATTCTAAAGTTCATATCACACTCATCACTCAATGGGTTTAAAATTATCTACAAAATGAATTATTTTCTCCCATATTTTATCCTCAATTGTATAAGGTTGTATGAATCAGTGCACTCGATGAACAACTCGAACTCAGCTCAATTAATACTTGCTCAAATTGTTCATATTAATAAATAAATAAGTTCGAACGCTTTTTAAAAACACGAAGATTAAATGAATCAAACCTAAACACTTCAACCTTCAACTCATTCATTTATGTTTACAAATAAGCTCATTTGTTGTATAAAATGTAATTTGTTAAATGTAAGATATTAAATTCGGTAATAGCTCATATCATATATTATATATTATTTATATAAAATTTAGTTAATTAGAATTCATTTGATTCTATAGTTAATAATAATGTATTATAATTTAATATCAATAATATTTTAGGATTAATTATTATTTAGATATTTACTTTACTAAATTTTAATTATTAGTATACTTAATTCATTAATTGATACATCATTATTCCACTATATCCAATCAATCACACTCATAAATATTATTTAATTTATCATTACATAAATATATAATGTTAAATTACTAATTATATATCGCATATCCTTAAAATTTGTCATTTCACAAATCACTTATTAAGGGCCCATTTGGGGCAGCTTATAAGTTCGGGAGCGCTTTTTAGAACGTTACGGTACCGTTTGGTTCACGTGTTTTGCCCGCTTATCCGAAAATGCGGTTTCACTTTTACACTAAACGCAGGCATGTGAACTACCCGCGGGCCGCGTTTCAGGATAAGCAGGGCCCATTTGGGGCAGCTTATAAGTTCGGGAGCGTTTTTAGAACGCCGCGATACCGTTTGGTTCACGTGTTTTGCCCGCTTATCCAAAAATGCAGTTTCAGGATAAGTTGTTTATTCTTAAACGCACAAGCTGCCCCAAACGCACGCTAACTCAACACTAAAAAGCCTCTAACTATACTCTTCCTCCCCCAATTTTGACTTTCTTGCTTCCCATGAATTGTTTTTTAGCGAGGTAAGTATTTATATTTTTTTTCAAAATAATTTTTTTTTTATTGTTGGTGAATATGCATTTTATTATAAAGTTACCTCATCTTATTATATTTATTTTAATGAGCTCTTTTTCAGTTTCTGTTTTCTTCTTCTTAAAAATCTTTCACTTGAACATTAAGCTATTGCCTTTATTTGTATTTTTTATAAATAGCAAAGATACCTTCATTATTATCAGGAGGTGCAATGTTTTTATTTTTTTCATTTACACGTTAAATTTATTATCAGCTACCTATGTAAAGCATTATTTTTTGCTTTTATTCTTAGGCAGATTTACATACATACCACTCAACTATTATCTATTTACACATCTAACTTATAAACTTCAGTTTATTTACATATATATATGCCATTTTATCTATGTATAAAAAGATATATTTCACATTTGAAGAGTCAAAATAGTGGTATTTTTTATATGTTGTTAAAATGTTAAAATTTGGATGGTATAAATATAAAAAAGTAAAGTTTAGGTGTTAGATATAGAAATATATTGGAATTGGATGATAGTATGTCAATTCCTCTTACTCTTTTGGGAGAGATTATTGCATACGGACACCGCATGCAACTCTGCATCCGGAGTCCGATCCTGATTACTTCCGCT